ACTAAAGTGTTGTTTGGGGAAAAGAAAGAGAGAGTGGTGGGGATGTGGAAGCCCTGATGCCTGGTTATCTATGGAATCACCCATACATGAAACAGAAGCTGAGCTGTGATCTGTTATGAGAGGTAAAATTTACCAACGAAATTGAAAAATGATAAATCTAATCCCAGGAGAGTTGGCTCAATGGAGTCCTTGGTTTCTTTTTGCTGTGCTAGCTAAGGCATAAAAGGGTAAAACAAGGAACAGAAAAGAACAGAAAAGGCCCAGAAATCCCCAAGATTATAATTTTTAAGGTGGGAAGGTAGGCATGTTTTCTGAATGCCTACATTGCCTCTATATTAACCAGAATTGTTAGCATTAATCTGAACTAGAATAGTGATGAATAAATGCATATTATAATCCCCACAGCAGCCAGTAAGAAAATAACTCCAAAAATGTTGGAAAAATCAACAAAAGAGTTAAAATAATAGATATCTACTTAAAAATAATATATATTCTACCCTTTAGGAGATATTAAAAATACTATATATGCTACCCTCCAGAAAATATGATTGAATATGGTTGCTCTTTGAAGGTTTTGAAATTATGAAAATATTAATATAAAACTGAATTACATGAATAAAGATAATTTAAATTAAAATTCAAGTATAATATATATGGACAATATAAAAACAAATTTTTTATTCTGTAGTTTTTTCAAAGTTCACATCACATTTGAACAAGATATAAATTTATATCCATCTATAACATTTATATGAATTAAGAATATTGAAACTTCTATTTAAAAAAACTTGTAATTTTATAACTGGAAGAGAGCTTAGCAACAAGTTCTTCATTTGCAAATGAGGACTGTCAAAAACTATCAGAGCATCCATAATTTGTTAAAATCAATTTGTCCCATTCCACTGCTTTTTCCAGAAAAATATGTACCTCTTCTTTCACAATAAACAGATCCCTTAAAGTGTGAGTATATTTAACTTATTTTTAAAATATTTTTAATAGTTTTATGAAGTTAATAGTTCAGGATTAAAGTTCTCCTTGCCTTAGGCTCTTTGCCAAATGGTTAATCATATGCAAACACCTTTACCACTAAAAATCTGCTTTCGAATAATCCTGAGAAATTTTAATACTGCAAATAATAAATCCTAAGTGTACTTGTTTTATATAGTTCATAATTTATGAATTAAACTGAAGTAATCTATTTATCTTTAAAACTAAGCAAATGCTAAATAGTGGGTGCAACTCTTTAATCAATAACATAAAAGTAGAACTTATCGAATTACCTCCAACAACTTATAGCATTTTTCAATTTTAAGACTTTTTGAGAACATTAATTAAAATATAAATTGCCCTTTTGAGCTATAGCTACATGAGCATTCACGACATGCACTTCGTGAGGCAGGATAATTTGGGGTTGGTGTGAGAGGAGCAGAATGTGTGAAGATACACTCTGGCTCAGTCTCATAATGAAACACCACTCAGAATGTGACAATTTCTTCCCTTACAAATCATGCAATTTCTCGTGTCATCCTTCAGGTGGATGACACTGCTCAGTTGGATTATCACTCATGCAGCTTTCTGCCAGAAAAGGATTTGTTCTTGAGAGTTGTAAAGTTCAAGAGGCTGAATAAAATATAAAGGAGGAAAAGAGGAAAAAGAAAAGGTTTTAGAGTGTTTGTGAATCCCTCTCTAGGCTGCTAGGATGTAGTCAGAGCAAGAACCATACATTTCACTGTGATTCAAGATGAAAGAGGACTTTCTGGTGGTCCCTAAAAATGTGTGCACAGGGAGGGTGCTTCTCAGGCATACTGTGATTACTAATTCTTTATCTCATCTCACTTTTATTTTTAACAGTAAACAGAGATTGTTGAATTATATTTGTATCAAATGGGTTAACTAATAGAATCTACATTTGAAATCTTTAGAATCTGGTAAGATTTCAAAATATGACACAGATAAAGCAGATAAAGCCATTCTGAGAGAAATTTGCAGCTTTTAAATACTTATATTAGAAAAGAAATAATCTTAAATCAATAACCTAAAATTCTCTATTAAGAAATAAGAACAAGCGAGAAAAATCAACCTAGAGCATGCGGAAGAATAAAACATAAAAGATTAAAGTAGAAATCAAGGAAAAAGGTAGAAGAGAAAATCAATGAAACTGATACTTTGTCCTCTGGTCAACAGAATTTGCAATCCTTATCTACATTATACAAGACAGAAGACATGTATTATCAAAATCTAGAAGAAAAGAGTCAAGTTCCCATCATTTTTAAGAGCTTTGTATTTTAAAAGGTAAACTCAATCAACCCCATAAGGGGTGTGCCAGTGAGACAGAGAGAAATTGGACAGAAATAAAACTGAGAATGTTTAGGTCAATACCAGGCATTCATGAGTACATACATGTTCCCTCATTGGAGAAACAGTGGAGGGGTTGACAGCAAGAACTGATAGCCAGTCAGAGGAAGCTTTGTGGTACATTTAGTATATGCCACCAGTTTAGTTAAGAGATTATGTTCTAATATATTTTAGGCCTATTTTGGACACATTTCTTATTTTTAACAAGAAATAGTTGAAAAAAAGAGATATTAAAAAAATGTGATTCAGTTAGCCAGACAATTTAATCAATATATTGTTGATATTCCTATTGATTCTATTTCTATTGATCCATTATTTTGTTGTGCTCTAATTCTTTTGCTTTCTAAGGAAAGAGACTCAACTCGAAGTTGACAAGTTGTGAAGAATGTTAAATTCTGATCTTTTTGAGTTATCCAGAAAAGGTTTCCAGGAGAATAGAATGATAAACTCTGTGATAGGTGATTTAAAACAACCTAGACCATCAAAAAGGGAAAAACTTTAAAAGTGTTGCTACAAGGTATTGGGAAACTTCAAAGCAACAGTCCTGCTTAACTTGGAAATCTCCTCTTCAACATTTTTTCCCTTTCCAAAGGATGTTAAAAGAAATCTGTTAACTGGCAGGAAGTAATTAGTTTCCAGGCTCAAATCTTGGTGTCCGTGGAGGTCCAGGTTCCTCCCCAGAATCTAGTAGTAGCCAAATGATAGAGAAGGAGATAAGGGTAAAATTAAAGACTTACTAAGTTTTTCCAAGAGTTCTCTAAACGTTTGTATTTGGATTGATTTGTTTCACTATGCAATGGGTTATTGTGTGAGTTCAATAATGAGAACTCCTTCTGTTGTATACTGGATAAATGAAAGGACATTACTGAGGGGAAAAAAAAGAAAAAAGGTGAAGCCACAGCTACATTACCTGAATTTTATACCCGGGGTTGTGATTGGCTCAAAATCCAAAGTTTTTATCAGAGAACTCACTCTCCAAATTTAAAGACAGCGCTGATTTCACTCACTGAAAGTACACTTGTCACCAGAGAGAAGGCAAGGACAGTCCAGGGTTTGATGAAGATCGTGAAAAACTCAAAGCGAGGCTTAATATTATGTTGATTTTTGTAACCCAGCACTCATTAAATATTACTTGGCTGAATGAATAAATGGATGAGTATGGAAATGAATGAATTAAAGAGAAGGATCCTGCTTTAGGGAGTGTGATTTTATTTCCTCCTGATTTATATTCAGACGCTTTTAAAAGAATTTTGAAATTTATCTTTCTCTGATTTTATCTTATCAGTTTCAAGTGATCCTAATACTACTTTTAAATACATATATGCTTATATATACACATATATGTTTCCAATAAGAATGTCTCATAATCATTTCTCTGTGCATGCATTTGCCCATTTTTTCATTGTACTAGATATCCAGATGAAAATGAAAAATTATCTCTGAATGTTCAAAAATTACCAAATTCAAGCATCTGCTTGGATTGTTCAAGAGTATTAGTTTAGGACTTAACACCTGACCCAGATTTCTGTATTTAGTATCTTTGACTCTGTCAACTGAACAACAAGTCCTTGCTGCACATTTTGTGGCTAGTTTCTTAGGCCAGCTGCGAGTACATGTTTGCACTGATATTGGGCTTTTACGCTTGGTGCCTTCCAAATGTCACAAAATTGGCTGGTATTGATAAAGAAAAAAGAGCCCAGTCATTTAAAATAACCATTCATGGGATCCATTATGATGCTCAGCTGGGAATTTTGTGGGCACTTTAGTTAAAGTCAATAGATCTGAGGATTCCTTTTTTCTGGTTCCTAAAACAAATCTGCAAATCAGATCCACAATCATTAAATGTAATTTAACAAAAATTCAAAAATTAAAAAGCTCTAAGACCAAATCTTTTAAATTCATGGCAAACATGACCTCAACTGACGATTGGCTATTAGTTTGAGCGGTTGAATATTTATATATGTTGTTGCACAAATATCATGTTTGATTATGGGGCACTGCCCGAGACTCCACAGAATGTTTTTCATAATATATGTATATAACATATATTATCTTTTTAAAATTTAAAAAACCTACTCTAAATTCTAAAATATATCTAGTGTAGAGTGTTGGATAAGTCATAATAAACCTATGAACCATGTAACAGCTCTTATTTTGCTCACTGATTTCCAAGGAAAGATTCATTTTGATGAAGCTGGAAGCCTGATCATAGCCTTGGACTTCTGAGATCATTATGATGATTGACTTTTTTTCAAAATCAGACCTAATGTTTTTGGATTATATAGACATGGCTTGATATATACAGACAGAGACAAGCAGGATGGTCATAACAGACCTCAATAGGTTGACTGGAGATTTATAGTTTTTATTTCTCTAAAGGCCCAATAGGAGAATCTGCACCTAAGATAGATCTTCTCGGGGACTGGATAGGGAGGTAGGGGAGCTGCATTTGCCACAGGCCTGATCTTAACTTCACTCAAGGTCATAACATCTAAGCTCAAATTTATCTAGCCACCACCATCTTCGTGCACCCTTGGCCTTCATACTCAGATACTTTGGTGTCTAAACCTTGCTCCACTGAATTCATATGCATTAGCCATTTCTAACACCTGCATTATAAGAAGGTAGAATGGAAGGAAGAAAGAGTTCCCCTCACTGGGACTCGAAGCTCTAAGCAACTACATGTTCAGCAGCATAGACCTGGCCCAGTTTTATTCCAGGAAGTAGGACTAAGGAGCACTTGGATCATTTCACCTGATCTAGAGTGCTCACAGGAGCCCTGATTGAGCATCACAAGGGACCTGTTGATTGGAGCTTTCTTTTTACTTCCTTGTGCTGTTTTTCCCTTATGGGTATTGTCCTGTTTAGAGATTTGGAGGGAACCAAGAGTAAAAGATCCATGTCAATGCCAACAGGTGCTCATGACTGGCTTAGGGATCTAGACACAAAATTAACAGCAAGAAATTCTCATTTAGATGACCTAGTCAAAGATACTAAATACCAAGTAACCATGTGCTTCTCTTTCCACTATGTGATTTTTCCCAATAAAACCTCTATATTTACAGAATATATACTGTGACTTGTTAGACCTGTGTGAGCTTATTATACCAAACCGAGACATTTAGTCTCTTCAATATTTTTTCATAAATCATAATTTAGCTAATAAATGCACAATTGATAAATGAATCAACATAACTATGCAAATTTTATTTTAATAAAACTATCATCATACTATCATATCTACATTTTCAAAGAAATGCTAGCTTTTAAAGAGATTAGGTTTGGAATTAATTCTGCTTATATATAAAACTTTTTTTTTTTTTTACTTTTTAAAAGAAATGCCTGCAGTGTTAGTTAAAGAATTATAGAACTCTAGTATCATTACTTCATAGTTACACTTACTTTTATGATGGTATTACCAAGATTAATCATCCACATTGTGATTCAGTCATTAATTTTGATGAAAAATCAAATTTCCTACAAGGTGAAGAATATATCCATGTTAAAAATATGCCCAAGAAGTTCTTACAGACTTAAGGCATTTACAAAAGTGGACAAATACCAGTACTCTGTAGTAGTTCTGTGAATATTCTCCTTATGAACCATCTAAATTCAATAAGAGATCATTCTTCATTATTGCCAATCAGAGTTTCTCCTGCTACTGCTTTGGGAATTGTTGCCAAGAAAGACAGAACAAGGAGACTACCCACCACCTTTGCAACAAAAAATGGGGTCCTCACTTCTTACTCATTGCAGTTCCCTGACAGAATCTGTAGCCTTGCTGCTAGGCCAGAGTCTGGACTCATCCATCCCCTTCCTCACTTGGACTTACCTCTGCCCGTCTTAGAAGGTTCTCCAGGCTACACTTGCTAATATAAAACACAGCCCATACTCGGTCACATTTAAGATGCTTTCCCTCAGATCTTCATGTGACTCTGCAGATGCACATAAATTCAGGATAAAGAAGACAGTTCATCTAACTGTATACACCAAGTATATTTGAATCTTAGATCTAATCCAACTGTAAATCCTAAAACACTCACATACTTTGACATGAAAAACATAAATCTTATCTAAAATGACATCAAGAAATGACTTTAAGGCATGATATTGAGCTCAGATGCCAAAATTATAACAATTTCTATACTAGTCACTGTTCTAAGTGTTTTACACATATTGCCATATTTAATATTCAGAGCAACACTTTATGGAAGATACCAATACACCCAGATGAGAAAACTAAAGAAGAAAGAAATTATGTAACTCGTTCAATTTACAGTTAATTAGGTAGCAGAACCAAGATTTAAAACTGAGCATTCCAGCTCTAGAATATGCACTTTTAGTCACTACACAATACTACCTTATAATATATACAAATTGCTATTACAACAAAAAATATTACGAACAACGTAGTAGCCATTTTGCTGCTCAAAAAGTAATTCCAGTTCTATATCTTCCAGGAAACATTGTAGAACTGCTTTTTCTGGCTCCTTTGTTAAGTGATTGGTGCTTCCATGTAGTTCTGGTAAATAAGTTCTGTGCATCATTTTCAGGCGTAATATTGAATCACCTATGTGAGACTCTGACACAGAGAGGGAAACATTCAAGATGGTGGAAATGCCATCTGTCTATATTCCTTAGTAACTACATTGAGTAGAGGTTACTGACAATCTGTGAGGAAATATAGCTGAACAAAAATCAAAATTGTATTGCCTTAAGGCACACAAACTTTGGAATTCCTCGTTAGCAACAGTAAAATCTAAATACATTACATGTTTCTGATATGAGTAGATCAAAAAAGTGCAAAAAACCTTGTTAAGCAATGTTAATAATTCTAGAACTATCATCAGAATTAAAAGATGACTTTATCATATATAATTTTATATTTATTTCATAATTTAATGTGTCTTAGTACCTTGCTAGCAAATACTTTCTTGATTCCATCACCATGGTTGAAGTCAAAATTAAAATGTATAATGACAGGGGCCCGCCCGGTGGCTTTGCGGTTAAGTTTGTGCACTCTGCTTCGCATGTTTTGCTAGTTCAGATCCTGGGCATGGACCTATGCACTGCTGATCAGGCCATGCTGAGGTGGCATCCCACATAGAGCAACTAGAAGGATGTACAACTATGACATACAACTATCTACTGGGGCTTTGAGGAGGGAAAAAAAAAAAAGGAAAGAAAGGAGGAAGATTGGCAACAGATGTTAGCTCAGGGCCAATCTTCCTCAAAAAAAAAAAATGTATATATATATAAAATGTATAATGGCAAAAGACTAAGAACATAGAATAGGTAAATGGTTTATTATCAGAAAACTAGTTCACTTAAAACAATAAAATTTCTGTGATGATATATCTCACCCATCAATGGTATATATTAGCCACCTAATATATGCTCATTACTACTGATCTAGGAATTAGGAAAGATTAAAAAAGAATTTTTAGAAAAGTAGCCAGATATCCATAAGATGTTTCAAATCATGTTTTATAGATAAATAGTAGATATAATGCATCTAAGATTAGAATAAGGGTTTCTGGAGCCAAGAAATTTATTACCCATAACTCAATACATCTTGTTTTGAAATCTTCTATTAACAACAGGTTTTAAGGAATTTTAAAATGCAATATGTATTTGTTTAATTTTAAAGTGTTAGCTTTATATAAATTATGGAACAGATCATTTTTCCATAAGAAAATAAAAAAAGATAGATTTCGCCCCCCAAGGAGGACTGTAATTCACAAATGTCTTTATTTTATTCACTAAGGATGAAAATTAGAAATATGTCAACATTCCTTTGGCTACTTAAACACTTATTTCATGGAGAGATATTTATGTAGAGTTAAAAAAGATTGTTAAAAAAGATAAATTTCCACATAACATACAGTTTATGTAAAGGCATATTTCTCACCTTCTGAGGGTATCTGTCAGCTAATAGTTTTTATGGAGAGAGATAATTCAAATCATGTCACTGGTAGAATTCTGGACAACATAGTCATCCAAATAAGGTAATACGTTTAGTTTCCCAAGTGAATACTGTGGGAAAATAAACATTATATTTATCAGGCTTTCCAATCCCACAAGGAAAACAATTACTGTGTTTGTTGCGCAAATAGAAACACCTCTCCAATTTTCCCACAGCTCTATTGTCATTTAGAAGCAAAAGCTGTATGTGTCGCTACCGAAGCCATTTCCTTAAAATTCTTTTATAATATTAACTTTTACAGACAATGAACTATACTCTACTTGGTACTTTTTTAGAGAGAAACATATGGTAACAAGAGATGAAGCTGGAATTAGTAGAATTAAAGAGGAGAGAACATAGACTTGAACTAATTTATAGAAATATGAATATTAAGCATCTCATAAGTGGAAATTATAATCACATAAATGTATTATTTATTAGATAATCATACAATGGGAAGGAAATGATTTATAAACAATTTAAAAATGAAGTTTGAGAGTGATGAAATATCTTCCCAAACTCTCTTTTTGGAAAGTTTTAATTTTATTCTGTTAATAGTAAATGGAAAACATCATTTCCCTTACTGTCTTCTGCCTTTCTCTGATCTAATTTCTTTTTTGTACACAGGCATTGTACACAGAGAAGATGGGGCAGAAAATTGTGAGGAAAGGTAAACCAAGGCACATTAAAACTTTCCAGAGTTTATTTGAGCATACATGGATTCGAATCTGGCAGCGTCCAACCAAAGGTAGCTAGAAGTGCTCCACTGACAGGAGTTAGGGGCAAGGTTTCTATAGAGAAGGCACTGAAGCAAAGCAAGACAATTATTTGATTGGTTATAGTTTAAACCATTGTCTCATTTGTGAAACCCTAATTGGCTGTTTGTGATTGGTTGTTCTTAAGTTTCACTTTCTGAAATTCGAGAACGTCAACTTTGGCTTAGGTTTTGGTTTGCTTTTGCAGGCTACTATGGCAATAGAGCCGCCTCAGGGTAACAGCCTCCTTGTTTAATTACTTTAACAATTGATACTTAAATTGTAAACAGAGGTTGTTTAGCGACAAAAATAGGAGGGAAAAAAATCATTCCACTATCCATCCTCTTCTTCGATCCTGAAGAATGTTATTTTGAAAATGGCTATTTGTACAATCAATGGGTTCGTCCACTTCATTTGGATTTTCACATAGCTAAATTTAAAAAATATTGTGGGAGTACTTATATATCAAATATTATAAAATAAAATTTTACCAATGGAACAGTCATAACATAGTACCTCCCAGCTGTGCTAGCCCTTTTGGGGGATAAAGGGAATGACTCACTCTCTGCCCTAGAGGAGTTTCAGTGGTTTTGGAGAGATAAACATCCTAGATATTACCCAACCAAGGACTGACATGGCTTGCTCACTGAATGCAATGTAGACAATAATACACCTTGTGATTCTGGAAGTCTTATTCTCTTGGATCATTCTGACACTGCTTTAATCTAATATTCAAACAGCACAGTATATTCATTGAAAGAACTGGCTTTAGAGTCACTCAGACCTGAATTTAAGAAACCAACAATACCACTTCCCAGATATGTAAACTTGGACATGTTACTTATCATCTTGAAATTTTAGTTGCCTCATCTACAAGATGGAGATAATGATAGTACTCACATCATTGGAGTTTCAAAAAATGATACAATAATAAT